GAGAAAGTCGCTCTGGTCTGAGTGCTGTCCGGGAGGGGAGCGAGTGGGTAACCTTTCAGATAACCTTTATCTGAAACTGTTGACTTCTTTGTTTGATACTTTATGAGCTTTATTCTGGCCAGGATTTGGCAGTGTACTTTTGTCATTCCTTTAGTTTTCCATTGTTTGTCCCCCAAATGTAAAGCATGGAATTAGCTACACATTATGCTTCCCTGACTTTGGGAACCTTTACGTTAAGACAAAAATGTATTGCCAGAGTGGAGAGACTAATTTTGTACATAACATCTTCCTAATACTTCTTGATTTGATGATGGTAAATACTGAGTTTGTATATTTCATTTTGATATCAGTATTGGGTTTGAAAGCAATTGGCTATGTATGTAGCCACATCCAAGTGCTTTGCTTTGTGTGTAGCTTGTATTTGTACATAAAAATGTAATAAAAAGGATGTAAAGCGCCTTGTGCAAGCTTCTCTAACTAGGTGATTATAATTGTTAAACTTGTGTTGCTATAATTTGTTAATAAAGATGAGATAATTTTTGTAAAATTAGATTAGGTACGTACTTGTCTCTAGTACTAAATGCCTGTTTGACCTGAGGAAATGGATATGTTTTTATATATATATCTATATAACACAAAGAAAATCCACAAAAAGGAACCGTAGAGACGTTGTCAAGTCATTTTGTGTAATAATAGATAAGCTACATTTAATAGAATTAAACTTTGTTAAATAATTTTTAACATTAGCTCTAAATTGTTCATTGACTCTTGATTAGTCATTTAAATGTTTAACATGTTAATGGAAATCAACTGTTTAGATCAATAAATTGAATCTTTTTTAACACACTCTTTAAGCTTCAGCTTATTAAACAATAAGTCGGACTGACTTGTCTGCGCTAACGTGACTCTGAGAATGATATGGAGATTCAGGAGGTAAGAACGTCCCCATATTCCAATAAGATGAAGTACCTTCAGCCTTTGGTGTTAACCACTGTAGCCAATGTGAATATGTCTGATATTCACACTGTTTCATCACTCGCAGGAGTGAATGGGATCCAGTTAAAATGCTTTATCTTTGCTACTTACAGTATATTTTCCTCTTTTGCTATTTATGTTAATGAACATCAGAAGGCTGCATTTGTGTTGTAATATCAATGCTTTTAAATATCAGCACTATTGAAGGCCCCATAGAGACCTGAACTCTTTTTTGTGACTATTAGAACGGAATGCTGACGCGTATTAAGACTTCGAAAGGATGACTAAACATTAAGCAGGTAACCCTAATAATAACTCTAATGTTGCGAATGCCAGTCATAAATTAAGTTATTTATACTTCAAAAAGTAAACCTGCCCTCACTAACTCCAAATAAATGCCTCGGCCCTCTAAATCCGCTAATAAAGTTAACTAGTGACATCAAAAATGACTTACTAACACATAAAACAACACAATTAACAATCCATCTTTTAAAAAAAAGCTAAAACTGATCTTTAATACCTGACCAGCTAAACTAAGCTTTTTAACAAGACACGCTGAAAAAGATGGTTGCTCTCAAATCATATTCTGCTCTGACAGCTTTTGTCCTCCCCCACAAATTGGTTTACTTTTTTGATAGTAACATATGCTTTGTCAAACTGTTTTCAATTCATCTGTTATTCGTGCATGCGAGTGTACGTTTGTTTTGACTTGTAGTCAGTCTCACTCATTGTCTCTTCTTCATTTTGTGTATTATACTTATAGCACCTCAAAATCTATATCCTAAATTTGATTTATCCTTCCAACAGGTACCAGTCTCTCTGTGAGCTGAGATGCAGTGGATTGAATCAGACTGGGTAAGCTCCAAAAGTGTCTCTAAACAAAAAAAATTGCATTCAAATACAGTTTAGGTATATATTTGTTTTTTGCTGGAGTTTATTATGAGTTCTTACCTGATTTTTATTATTATGGAAGACCATACATCCATCCATTTTCACCCAATATAGGCAGGGAAACCTATATCCTATATAAAACCTATACCTATAACCTATATAAAAAAATATGGATTATGGAAGTCATTTAGCATAAATCTGTCATGCTACATCAGAAACACCAAGTATACACCTATATGTATCACAGAGCTGTCTTAGAGCAAGACAAAATAATAAAACAAAAAAATTTTGTTTCAGAGTGAGGAGCATGTACAATTAATAAGCCATTTAGCAAGTAACACAAACATCCTATTGGGATATAGCTTGAAGACAGAAACCCACTCAGTATGATATAGACTTGTGACACTACGCACAGATTAATTGCACACACCACTAAAATATTAAGGAGTGATTGTTTGACCTCGAGTGAAATGTGGCCTTCCGGAACAATGCTTTGAATATTTGGGTAATTAATATTTTTTTGTATTAAATATGCTGCAGGAGATCCCCGCATGTGAAGCATAACAGCAACAAGAGACAAAAACACACTATTCTTTGGGACTCATTTTGTTTGGTTTATTTTTTTCTTTTGCTAAGGCAATTAGGTGCATCAGAAACAAACAAAAATGAAAAAAAATCCATTAATGCAACATTTTCAATATCGATTTAAGCTTTTTTTTAAAGCGTGGGTCTTCCAAAATGCATATATTAGTCATTCTATTAATTTTGACCATCGTCGCATTATTTTGGTTCTCTTGATGGATGGATGGTCTTTTGTAGAGGTCAGCCATGTTTTATAGTCTAATTAAGGACAAGACAGGGGCATGCTCAAACAGATGCGTTTTTTCACACAGAAAACCATTTGTAAGCCAACAAAGGATGATTAAATCACTGACACCTATCAGATGGCTTATTTGAGAATGGAAAGGTAATGGGAATGGAAACGATGGCACAAGTGTTTTAGCTGCATTAACACTGCTGTGGTTTTTGTTAATGGCCTGCATGAAATAAATCTTTAACCCTTATATTAAATTTGTCTAGAATATGTAATTAAATGAAAAGAAAAAGAGATTATTCATTATTTAAATAATATGATATTATGATTTGTGGACTGGTATGACACTGAATGGCTTTAGGCTTGCTAATTAAAATAGGCATTGTCTTCTAATTAGTGGCACACAGGTGGGTGGCGATATAGCTATTTCACAGTATTGCCTTCGGCATGAACATGCAGTCAGCAGAGGATTTTGAAGCTTGGATGTATATCTCATTTGTCTTTATACACTGCTCCACAGTGAAAGAGAGTGCATGAGGTCTGATATTTTGACTGCAAATGTGAAGGTGGTTAATATGAAAAAAATATCAGTTTATGACTCATTAGTAACAAGCAACCGGACATTTTAGGTTGTTAAATCTGGTCTTCTGTGATTCATAATGCATTTTCTTTCTGCGGCGAGGAAGAATACATTTATGATGACAATAACAGATTAATGCATGATGCTTTCTGTTGAGTGTCTGTACTTCACACACAAGACATTCAGTTTGCTGTCAAATACTAGTGGAGTTTCCATCACTGTTGAAAATCACTGTTGTTTTCTATGACAAGTTGGTCATCACATAGAGAGCAAGAGACGGAGATGGAGAGTCATTTGAAAGGGCTTTAGAATCGTTATCACATTTCTTTCACATAGTAGGAATTGTGTGTAAAAAAAAAAAAATCACAGTCGTGGCTCAAAGAACAACTTTTAATATAGCCATGATATTAGGATACTTTCACAACAATACAAAAGCGGATAAAGAGGAAAAATATAAAGAATATCAACATTACCTAAAATTGAAATCAATATAAATATGCAGATTTAACCAGCTCAAACACAAGGATGAGTGTTAAAATGATTTTGTTAGGCAGCATGGTGCTTGAAGATGTTACATGCTGGTCCCGTAATTCAGTTCCTTTGGGCTTAACACAGCAGGCGAGCAGACAAACAAATGTTAAGGACACAAAGCTCTTAACTGTACAAAAAGAGAAATTTCTTAGCAGTGTTCAGACCTTTGAAATGTGGGATGATGAGTCTGTTGGTCTTTTCATCTTTTGAAATGTGGTATTATTTTAATTTATACCCCTGTGATTTTGATATCCTACAATTTAGTGCCTCAGTTAAAGCCATTATACGGGAATTAAACTGACTTTTATGACTTGGGCTTGAAAGAGTGCATGAGCCTCGCGCCTATAGCCTCTTCAGAGGATCCTTCTTGAATGAACGTGGATAATGGAAAGAGACCAGTTAATCCAGCCTCCATTTACTTTTCCAAAACCAATAGTCAGCGCAGACGATGTAGAGATTTGAAAATAAATCCACTAAATTCTTTTAAATGAAGCTTGTAGCTTTTATTTAAGCCTGAGAATGTAATGTGAGATGTAATCATTTCCTACTTCAAGCCATCGGACAGTCAGCATGGAGGAGAGTGAAAGAAGATACAGCTTTTTCTTCAGTAGATCGTGAATCATAAACGGCGTATAAAAATCTTTAACAAACAAAACACCCGAAACAACTGAACGTCAGGCTATTCATTCTTCAATAAATACCAGTATGTCAGACTGTGGTCATATTCATGGTTATATTCATGTCATCTATCTTCAGGCAAGATTTTAGACGCTGAGGAGGGTATGTCTGTATCATCAGCAGCTTCCCCAGCACCAGGTCCACCCACATATCTATACCGCTCTATCTCTGCCTTGTATGCTGCCAAGAGTAGGATATCCCTTCCCAGCCTCCCCTTAAACATTTCGTTTGTTTAACCTGAGTAACATCTCTTGCCTGCCGTTGCAGGCGCTTTGCAGTCGATATGTGGAGCATACTGATAAAACCAATCAGTGAGAAGTGAGAAGTGAGGGGGAAATGCTTATAAACAGTGTGTGCAGATGCTGTATGCCAGGTAAGTAGTGTGCTTTAAGAAACTGTAACCGCACAATTTAAACATCCAATTACAGAAGCCACACTTCCTTGAGAGGATAGATGCAATTTCGTGTTACATATATAGAGTATCGTTTATACCTGCCTCTTATAAGTGTACAGAAAGCTTAGTGAAAAATTGCCTTTACTTAAAATAGCTAGCGGTATATCAAGTTATACAACAGTTAAATGCCGTTCACAGTAAAGATGATAACTATAATGATAATTAGAACTATAAAGTTTTAATAATTGTTCTAATTCTGTGAGAATAGCCTAGTCCACATCACAGCTATTAGGAGGAACGATATTGGTGGAACTTAAATTTTTGGGTTACCTTCGCGAAGCCTTGAAATGTAAGATTATTATTATTATTATTATATTTACTCAATATTAACATCTTGTTTTCTGGACTGTTGAAAAATATTACACTTGCAATCATTTTTTCGGTCTGAATTTCAGCACGACCCACTGCCGTATCACAGCTATGCTTCGAAACCACAGCACTCTTAATAGTGCGATAATCAAATATTCAATTCAGCATGCGAGATGCAATGTAATTATCCTTTAGTTTTTAATGAATCTCAATTAGCAGTAGTCCCACTCTTCTCATTATAGAGAACATTTAATAAACACTCCATATGCTTTAGGAAGACATGCATTTGTGACTTATTCTCCTCTAGTGAAAATCACACTCGTGTAGTCCCTCCTGAGCACATCACCTGGAAAATGCAGCCATGTTTGCATAGCGTCTGTTTACTTTTGGTGTTTGACTGATTAGTAATATGGGGGTATAATGGATTCCAACATTATTCGCGCTGTTTTGGCAGACACATCGCACCGAGCCATTCTCATGCTGAGCTTATAACTGTGTGAGCCAGGGGCCACATTCCCAGAGTGCCTAGCATCTGTTTGTCAATTCAGAATACAGCGGGCCTTGCTGTTTTCACCTGTTTTCTTGTAATCAGTTTACCACTCACCCATCTCTTTATCTGCTTAATTCTTCGCAAATTACAGCTGTTTTAAGAAGTTAATTGTTCTGCTGTGATTCAAGGACATTTGAAAACAAGACAATAAGTGATTAATTTAAAACTTTGAGTGAAATCTTTGTGGAAATGGCGATTGAAACAAGGAGATCAATAATAAGTGGATAAATCCTTATTATTGTATGTATACTGAATGTTTCTTATGTCAGAATATGCAACTAATTTTAAATGGGCCATCAATGGAGAAAGACATTTTTTAGACTCCGTTATACACTCATAATATTAATACTAGGTAGTTATGGCATTCCTAACATGTTAACCAGCCAAACCTTGACAAACCTTGATTAAATGCTCCACTGCTCATAATGCATAGTACTGTTTGTATTTATAATTGTATTTCACATATTCACATTATGATTCACAACAAATTTTATTTAGTCTCAATCTTGCCTTTTTTTTGGCTATGCACCAAAAGCAGTGAAGATTATGTTATGATTGAAGAGTCAATTAATGCAGTCAGACAAAAAATTCAGAGGTTTGACAGTGATACAATGACACCCTCTGCTTGCAGGAGTGCACTTGCACTCTCTTATTCTCTGCCATTATGGTAACACTATACACACTTGGCAAGTCGACTGAGGGATTTGTTCTGGAAACCAAAGATAATTGCAGGGATTTAGACAACAGCATCCAACTGACAGATGCTTGTCAATGTAACTGCGCTTTCTCGAGGTCACTGCCAACATTGCTTGAGATGTGTTTCAGCCCACAGTTTATGAGCTGTCTTACTTGTGTGTGATAATGTTCTTGTATTGGCAGATGTTGGTGGAAACTCAGAATTAATGGTGTGAAGAATCCACAAAAAAAAAAAATTCTCTCTCTCTCTTCTTTCCCCACCAGTGTTGAGAACTCATTTCCATGGATCTGAACAGAGCTGATCTTGACAGAACATCACTACAGGGCACAGATGACCACTGCGTATCCATCTTGTGTAAGTCACTGTAAAGTCACACTTGGTTTGTGACAGATGGGAAAGGACGGCATGAGAAAGCTTTTAGATACTGCAGTAAAATAAAATCAAAAACACCGGTTGAAAATTAAATAAATGGTGCTTACCGGCTGGTATGTATTGACGTAGAATATAGAGCTGATCTATATAAGCCTATTTTTTCCAGTTGAAAAGATACATAATGATAATTTGTCTTTTTGAGTGACACTAAGTTGAGAATGTTTTTATTGTCTTTTTCAGCTAAATGAAATGTGAACAGTGTCATATGAGATGGACCTCACCCTGGATTGGCTTATTCAGATCACATAGAAGGTCCAAGCAGATACATTTCTTAAGCTGTATCACAACCCGTTTGAATTCTTCAGAGACCCATAAATTCAATATTGCATTATGGTGGTCAGAAGATACTGCAGTAAAATAAAATCAAAAACACCGATTGATCACATCAGAAATAAAAATTAAATAAATGGTGCTTACCTGGCTGGTATGTATTGACGTAGAATATAGAGCTGATCTATATAAGCCTATTTTTTCCAGTTGAAAAGATACATAATGATAATTTGTCTTTTTGAGTGACACTAAGTTGAGAATGTTTTTATTGTCTTTTTCAGCTAAATGAAATGTGAACAGTGTCATATGAGATGGACCTCACCCTGGATTGGCTTATTCAGATCACATAGAAGGTCCAAGCAGATACATTTCTTAAGCTGTATCACAACCCGTTTGAATTCTTCAGAGACCCATAAATTCAATATTGCATTATGGTGGTCAGAAGGCATGCCACATATTGTGGTATAATATGAGGCTATGTTGATCTTAACATTGTTTTCCGGTTTAAATCCTTTCTTTTGCATAATGCTATGCTGTAAGGTCTTGCATTTTTTGGTAATATATCCTCTTTTCACTTAATCTTTTTATCCCACAGGACAAAAAAAGGACATAATTGGATTAAATGGCTGTTGAAGATGGAGTATATTTTGTCTAAGTATGTCATCTCCGCTATGTCACCTCATTGACAGCTAAATGGGAGGGTTTAACGTGGTGCATGAAATCTTGATAGATCTACAACAACTTGCAACTGAATACTTATAAATGTCTTTATGCAACAAACAATTTTGCTTGTATTTTTGATGTTATAAAAGCAGCTTGTTTCTGTGCTTTCTGCCACTGTGACATCTGTGAGCATATGACTCAGTTTGCTCTGCGTATGTCATTACTAGCAGTGTTGAAATACAGCACAAATTACTCATCAGAACCTGTGCTTTCAAAGCCTGAGGCTTCAAAAATGATTTACCAGTAAGACAATACATACAGTAAGTGAATTTCACACAAATGCACATCATAATGGAAATGTGACGCATGTAATCAAAATCCAGTGCATAAATCTTTAATGGAAAACACACTCTCATTAATGCTTTGAGGTCCTCAGCTGAATGTGTTTTTGAGCTTTTTCTCCTTGCAGTGAAAATTTCAAAACATCCAATCATGTTTTTTTTTAAATGCCCTTGAGGTTATCAACACAGCTCAGACCGAATTTTAAAATTCAATTTCCTTATGACTGTACAAATGAAACGGCATCTTTCTGGAGGATTTGGAAAGCTTGTAGGATTCAGCGCATATACCTGAAAACAGTCACTAGATTGTACAGAATGGTCTATATATTTGTCAAATAAGAGTTTGCACATAATCTCCACTGAAACAGTAAAGCTATAATTTCAGCATTTTTTAAATAGTCATAAACAAATATTTGTAATAAATCTTTCTATATCTGAAACCGGTTTAATGCCAGTTTCACTCAGCAGTTGTCAGCAAATCTTTCGGTCATCATCTCTCTGTGCCAATATAGAGAATAAAGGAATTGCTTTTATCTAGTTATTTTGCTTACTTAGAAGACCAGGTACTGAGACTCAATAATGGGACTGAACTCACCCACAATACATTCTCTCATGTATTGTAATGCTTAGAAGAAACAATGAATAAAAAAGTGAATTCTCTCATGTATTGTAATGCTTAGAAGTAACAGATCATGACCAGCAACAAGGTTTTATACGTCACAGTACATAATAAAGCTTTTAAACACACCAATGCATGATGCCTTATGTAGTCTTTATTTCATTTCTAGACATGTGGGCATTGTGCTGGGGATCTTAAGACTTGAGTAACTTTTCCCATCATGCAGTGCTCTGTTTCAACACTTATCAAACGCACCTGAACCCCATCAGGGTCTACAGGTTCACACGAAAATCTCTGGCAGGTTTGCCAGAACAAGACGTAAACTGCACAAACCCAAGGCCCTGTTTTAATATTTTCAATACTTTCACTTCTGGATCAGAATTGTGCCTAAAGGTGTAGACAAATAGCAGTAGTTTAAAATATACCCCTCATCCAAAGTTTAATATTAATAGTTTGGAAAATGTATGCTGGTTTTCTCCGTATGCGTTCTTCGTGTGAGTTTTTTCTATAGCATTTCTAATCAGGCTTATAAATGGAGTTTTTTTGGTCGTTGGCTTCTGACCCTCTGGAGTGCACTTCAGAATAGTGACATTATCATGCAAAGCTATGGAAGAATACTATAGTAGACAATAATTTATAGCAATTATTTGTTACAGTAAAATGGGGAAACTACTGGACAAAAAACAACAATACTAGAATGATTTATTCTGTGAAAATATTGAATACTTGAACAATTAAACTCAGGAATCTGATGTTGGATATCTTAAACATTGCATAATTTCATATAATGTCTCTTCTATTAGTTAAGAACAAATTTTACAGGAACTCCAGGACAAGAGTGTGTATGAAGTGTAAGCCTGTCCAACAGGACTAGCTTTCTCACACAAATGCATGCAAACACTGTGAGCTTGAGTGTACCATCATTAAAGTGTGCAGCAGACCCTGGTGTGACTTTCTCTGACGTTAATAAATGGTGTGCAGTGCAGTGCCAAGCACAAGCATGTCCCTTCATTAGGCAGCTTAGGCCCACCGCCGACATAAGGGCCAGATGTCACAGGGGTTCTTCCCTGCACAAATCTGTCCCCAGCAGCAGAGATGAGGACAAAATACACTGCCCTGTCTTACGCCACATCTGAGGGCCGTCTCTGTGACAGTGAATAAGCATGTCTGATGTCTGGCATCTGGCAAGTTGGAGCTAACACATGGAAAAGGCTGCAGTGGAGCTTTGAGAGGTGCTCTGTCAACTGCAATGTTCAGGGATTTTCATCATGTCTGTATCATTACCGCAAGGAGGGAAATCTGTGTCTGAATGTCTAGTTATATTGCAGTGAGTTTTCACTGTTAAAATGGCTCAGCACTATATGCACTGTGGCCACCATTCATCAGTTTTCCACTGTATAATATCAGCCCTATCATAAAACATTTCACTTCTCTTTTAAGTGAATAATGTCTCATAAAAATAAAATAAAAATTCCAAGACAACATATTACAATGCAAAGCTCCTTGCCTAATCTAGATCAATTATGAAACTAACCACAAAAAGGGAGTTTTAAGAAATCGCTATGCCTTTGATACCAAAACCATTAGGACATTACCATATGACATATTATGCAGGTTAGTGGATGATCATAATTTACATGCGGTCTTTAAAGATATTCTCTAATTTACAATAAGAACTGAATGTTTAAATCTGAGAAGAATCAGATAAATCAAATTTCAAGAAAAAGAAAACTAGAGGGAAACTGTAGGCCTACTATTAGATTATCATTGTTTTGTGGTGCAAGAAACCTTTAACATTACCAATGGACGAAAAATGCAGTTTGGAAAATCATTATGCAAAGAAAATACATTCCCTTATATATGAATTATAAACAAATTATTTCATGTATTTTGAAAATATACAGTGTTAATATATCTGGAACATGTATGGGGTTAGCAATTTATCCACAGGCGGAGCGAAGGTAAGGCTTAGCCTTCCCCTGGCCACAGGGACTTGGGGCAAAAATGGCACTAAATTGGACAAAAATGCCCCTGCACAAATAAATTAAATATACTACGTCTGTTGCTAGCAAAGTGAATATGAATAGACAGTGTCGATTGAGGCATTAAATTAAGATCTGCTCATGTTTCACCATATTTCATTTTAGGCGTTTTTACAGTGTTGCGCATTTGAACCAATCACACACAATTCTGTTGAGCTTAGGAATGCAATGGCCAATCAGAAGCGTTCAGATGAGTCATCGTTTAAACAGATCAGTTTGGTTGAGTGCGCGTGTGTTCGCTGCCTGAATTCCGGACTCTTGCAAATTCTCTCATTATAAACAACAAAGCGCAGATGTACCTACAATGTAAGTAAGAGATTCATTTCACAGTGTATACAGCTTTAGTGATTATAACGATAGATTTTTTTTTTGAGAGTGCTTAAACGCGATAGATCAATGTTAGTGATAATGTCACTTTCTATATATAATTTATTCGCTGTTTGAATAACCGTGGAAAGGAAATTATCAATGTCTAACGTTTTTATTCAATTGTAATCACGTTAAATACAAATTCAGTCCCATTAAACATTTTTTAGCCTACATGACACCCATGTCTGGTTCTTGCCTAAAAAGACGGATTTATGATGTTTAATACATTTGGCTGCTTTTAGCCTTACCCTGGAGTTGGTTCACTCTCCGCCTTTGAATTTATCAATCAGTCCATTTTATAAAGTTATAAATGTCAAATCTCATTTTACATACACCATGGTGCCATGCTAAAGGCAAACTGTCCAAAAATCCTAAAATGTTTCAGTAAACAAATATTAAATATTATATATATATATTTATTTCATAAGTGTAGTCCCTTTAAATGCCCAAATAGTAATGGACAAACTCCTTTTTGCTCTTTTGCTCATCATTATGCTCTTGAGCAAACTGCTTCATTGATAGTTACAGTACAATATGGCGGGTCATCCAGAACCCATTGTGACTGCCTTGCAAAAATACACAGAGTCAATACATTTATTATGTTTGCCATAAAATTTAGTTTGGATTAAAGAGGAAAAATAACAGGATACATTTAATCAGCTCTCAAAATATTGATCTAAAAACTGAACTTTTAGAGTGTACAGCGAAAAAGAGAATGTGTGTGGAAACTTTCACCGATTAAAACAGCAGTGTACTAGATCAAGCAGCGCACTTCCTCATGGATGGAGACAGGTAGCCTGAACAGTCAGTGTCATTTGATCAGCTGTAGTCTTATCTCAAAACAGTTTACAAGTTGAATTTCAATGATGAAACAGTTCACCAGAATTCATCTGGGGTTTTTTTTTCTTTTTCTTTTTGTCTGGCAGGAAGCCAGTCCTGATGTGAGGATGTAAGGATGAGCTGACAGCTCAAATAGGTTTACGCACATTCTGACAGTATC